TTCATTGGTTCTGTATATATGCACGTAAGTTCTTCGATTTATCTCTTCCTGTCCCCCAATCCCGCTTCCCTTTGAGGTTTGTCAGTCTGAGGAACGTACATTTTAAAAAGCACTTCACATATTTGGGATCACTGACCCTAATCCACCACTTTTGTTTAGTTTCTGTTTTTAGAAGAGAAAACAGAAACACAGATACGTGCAGGAATGTTTCCAAAGACACAGTGAGTTCAAGGCAGAGATGAGCCCTCAGATCCCGAGATCATGAAGGTAGAAAAGATCCCTAGAGCAAAGGTGCTTCTACCATCTCTAGCACTATGGTGTAGGGTCTTACTAGTGAGAGGTGAGTTAAAAAAAAAAAAAAAAAATTAGTAAATGGAAAAACTATCCTAGCGCTACTAAGTTCTTCATTGGTTTGTCTATTGGTCTTGGACAGGGTAAGGTGCAAAAGTCAAAGGAAATAGCATAATGAGAAAAAAGACAATATCTTTATTCGCATCAATTCTTTAAAGACCTGAGAACAGTTTTCTTTTTTTTAACCTTTCTAAATTGATAAGAGAAGGATTAAACCCTCCAATATACAAACATTAATGGATGGATACGGGTACCTGATAGGCAATATTTCATATCAACTTGAATCCCATAAAAGGGGAAGAGAGTTGCCAGGAACCTTGGTGTTTCTAGAGCCCCAGACTGGATTCCCTCTGATTAATTTTGACTGGGAATTTAACTATAATCTTAGATGGGTCACAGGTCATTACTGCTCTCACCAATTCCCACCAGGGCTAGCTGCATCACTGTTCAGCAGTTATTCAGCTTTTGTTACTATGACAATAAAAGGATAAGGCTAAGCCACAGCCTGACTCAAAGCAGGAGTCATAACAGGAGCACTAGGAACGGTGGACTAGTTCAGTGAGCATTCCAGCCGACACACAGCTGAGCAGGAATGTGAGGGAAAAGGGATTCAGAAGCTGCCTGATGACTGGCCTTCAGACCCCAGGGTTGGAGTAACCTTGTCTTCTGTCTGCAACACTATCATTCTGGAAACAATTAGTTATGGTGACTAATGACCAGGGATTTACCCTGTAATGTCATCAATACTTAAAATAAGACCCAGACAATAAGACCCATACTTCTTCAAAACCACTCCCTTCAAAACCCTATAGTAAGACTGCTCTGATTAATTCCCAATAAGAGATGTTGCCTCAGAGGGAAAAGATAAATGTTCTTTAAACCTCAATCAGACATGACTTTGCAGCAACACTAAATTACCATTTCATCCCTTCATTTCATTCACTCAGTCATTCTCAAATTACAGCTCTAAATCCAACCCATCAAGTGGAATAAATAAACTTTTTAACTGGCCAAAGAAAATTCCTCATGGCACCTAAAATCAGTGAAAAGGGAAGGAATGAAGGAAGGATAGAAGAACTTGTGACAGCAATACCCAATGCATCTGAAAGAATCACACCCAGCAATTTACAACCTCCCTGTGAAGCTTGTCATGAAGCATAAGACCATCAGCTGACCAGGGTTTGTTTCTTCTCTCTACCCACTCCATTCAACCTGTCCAACAGCTACATTTTCTAAGTAGTATCAAAGCAGAATGGTTTTCACACAGTGTTTCTAAGTGAAGAACACAATGAGAAACACTCTCCTCATCTCTATGACCTGCATTTAACTTTCTTTTAATTGCCTTTTACTAAAATCGTCAGAATTCTTTGGTCTGATGCTTTAGCACATCTCTAAATCAGTGACTATTTTCGTATTTCCTAGTCAGTAATCCTAACTACTATAAATAAAGACTTGTAGTAAAATCATGTTCCGTTTATTTCTGTGAAGCAGTTCATGAGGGGAAAATAGACCCTGGTTTCCATACTTTCTTGTTAAGCAACTACCATAATCTATAGCTCTTTTTTTTAGTACAATTAGTTCACCCAAATTGTAGAGAAGTTGGATATCCACACTCATTAATTTTTCTGCCCTTTCCAGTCTGGTGATTCTAAAGCAGTAAAAAGAATCTCTGCTGAATCCAAATTCAAGATCTGAAACTTAAAGCACAGTTGGCTCTGAAGTGCTTTGTTTCAGTTCCTCTGTGTAGGGTACACTTTGCAGGCAAGGTTATGTCTTATTTTCTTCTGCCATCAGAGAAACAATGATCATAGATAGGCCTGGCAAATACTCTCACATACCTCACATAAACAGCCCTGTGTATTTATCTAATTTGTTGGGAAAGTTTGAAAAGTCAAGTTATTAGCAACTTTGCTCTAGTTGCTATTTTAAGAAAGAAGACTGGAACCAATTGTTGAAGACTACACAATATACCCAGCATCAGACTTCATAGTATTAGCAAGAAATTTTTTATTGACAAACCATTTAAGATGCCTCATCAAACTCTCTAGGTTTTTGTTATTTCATGAAATAAACTGAACCCCTTATACATTTATGTCATTCTAGAGAGAGAGTAAGGAGGATGGAAGTGAAGATACAGAGGACAAATTTCTTTCCTAAAATGTTTCATTCCACATGAACCATAAGTGGGAATATTAAAATGTTTCTTTCTTCACTGAACGTCAGTTTTGCACTATGGCTAACCATGAGGTACCCAGCATGTCTCCATTGTATGTGAAATCTTTCTCTTCACCTTTCAATAACTGGAAAATCATTAGGAAAGGGGGAAAACTACAGTTAACCCCTCAACAATGCAGGAGTGGGGGACCTGAATGCCAGTGCAGTAAAAAATCTGCACATAACTTAAGTCCACTTACTAGATTCCCCAACTCCAATCGAAAATATACTTATCAGTGCACTCAGCTGAGACCACCTAAACCTACTGATTTCACAGACACCTAAGAGCAAAGAAAGAGTTGGAAGTAACCTGACTGACTGCCACCTGACTTGGACAAACAGATAACTTGTGAGCACTTTGGAGCCAGATCCTCAGAGTGCAAGCTCCTGTCAATAATTCACCCTACCCTTGAGACTGGCCCAGGTCCAAAATAAATTCAGGAACCCAAACACAACACTGCAAATAACCAATATGGTTTCAAGATTGTAGGAAGGGGAAGTGAAAGTGGATGAGCTCTACCAAGACAATTGGTCTGACTAGAGATAAATTCCAATTAATTGACAAGTATATGTCATCACTGCACAGAATTCTAAAAAAAAAATAGCATCAGGGAAGTAAATCTAAACAAGTTAAAAAAAGGAAAAAAGATAGTAGATGGGAACATGTTTTGTTAAGTTTAAAGTATTGTTTAAATGAAAATGATTAAAATCCACCAAAAAATAGTAAGTTCACTGAAAGTGAGAAATAGAAGTACATATTCAAAGCTCTATACGTTTTTATTTTTATTTTTAAATCCTCACCTGAGGGTATTTTTCCATTTATCTTCAGACAGAGTGGGAGAAGGGGAGGGAGAGAGAGAGAAACATCAATGTGAGAGAGAGACATCAACTGGTTGCCTCCCGCACGACCCGACCAGGGCCAGGGACTGAACTGCAACCGAGGTACATGCCCTTGACCATAATCAAACTCGAGACTGGTCCATAGGCCGGTGCGCTAACCATTTTGCAAACCAGCCAGAGCCTCTGTACATTTTTAAAATAAATGCTGTGACCCTGTATATTCTTATGGGGATGCAATTCCCCCCCCCCCAAATACCTAGTTGAGGAATCTATAATTGCATGAATAACAAAAACAGGGAATACAGAGGTCCTGATCCTACATCTTAGAATCTCAGAGGAGGAAAAAAAAATTTAAATAATCTGAACCAACTACCTAGTTTAACAGGTGAAGGTGGGACCCACAAAAGCCAGGAGACTCGCCCAAGGTTACAGGCTCTTGGGCAACAGAGCTGGGGACTGAGATCATAACAAGGATCAAACCATACAAACTGAGTGCCAGTCCATTACTCCTTCCTTTCAGTCAGCTGTCCTTTCTTGATAAGAAAAAGATAAAAATAGGTAGTATAAAAGTGAAGCTCTTATCTAGACACTCAAATGTATTTTTCTAATGTACCACATCATTCATGACCTCTTCTGCTACATATTTATCTCTTTAACTGAATGGCCAGCGTGTGATCCAACACCCTTAAAATGATTCCTATACTTCTCCCTAACTCTCCAACCTGCTGGGCTCTTACACTGGCGTGAACTATACACCCTTTTATTCCATTTCTACTAAAGAAAGACAAAGATTTTTATATGACAGTAACTATATTCTGAAACTATATTTTAAATCAACCAAGAAATAGATTTATGGCTTTCCTTACTATCTATCTACATAATATTTTGGAATAAATGTAATTCTCAAAAGATTTTTTTTCCTTTTCATTGATAGTCAATAAAATTCTCTACAAATAATGTTTAAATTAAGAGCTACTACTAATAAAATTAATGAATTCTTCTAAAATGAATGAAATAATTAACCTAAAAGAATATAGCAAGTATGTTATTCTTTTTAGATAAATCCATTATTAAAATAGTTCACCATAATACCATTCTTCCCATGAAAAGGATTTTCCATAGAGGAAGACTGGGCTCACTGTGTCTCCTACTGGAAAAGCACAACCATCTACCCACCATTCAAACTAAGAAGTGAGAATTCCCACTCTCGTTCCCATGTACCAACTGTAGTGGTACTTCCGGACCGCAACTCTTTTCTTGATAATCACTGTGAACAGTATAGTTCAATCTGCAACATGGGACAAGGATGTAACTATTTCTTGCAAGCTGGTTCCAGGCAGAGGTAATGAAAATTTAAAAAGAGAGTAGATGCATAGTAGAAATAGACACACACAAAAAATACCCATACCTACATCTTGTCTACAAAGAAAAAGACTTGCTTCTGCACACCCACCAACCCTCCCCCCCACATGTCTTCTACTAAGAAGCACTCTTGAAAAAACAACTTTCAGATAAATACAATTCCATCTCCTTGATACACAGCGAATTAAATAAAAATTTAACTTAGATTTTGAAACAGAACTAAAATTTCAAACCTGTTGTCGAGTTCCGTGTGATCAGTGCCCCTTCCTACCCTGGCGCGTTTTCGAATCTTTGTGCAGAAAAGTGTCTTGTAAGTCCTCCCAGCACCAGAAACAGCACCACTCACATAACTGGCTGAATCCTGCTGGCCCACTGGCCGGTTTGTGGTCTTCGCTGTGCCGCCACACATCTCCTGAGCGGTTTAACCTCCTTCCGGTTTATCTTGACTATCAACATGGACTTGGACACAAATGCTGAAGAGGCTTTGTTGTTTGAGGGACAGTCCGCAGTGACCAGCCCTAAATGACCACTGTACTCCCTACACAGTAGGTGAAACAAGCTACTTGGCAGTAGCTTACAAATTTCCTCTTTCAAAAGTATTTTAAAGAGAAAAAGAAAAAGGAACATTCATTTGTTACGTAAATTAAGCCCGCTAAAGATTTAGGAAGTCAGATGCATCCATCACGTTATAAAACATGCTCTCAGCAAACCCATTATAAACAGACAAATCCAAATCCCACTTCCTACTTTTGTTCCTAAGCTTGTGCTCCTGTTAGCAAAAGAAAAGCCCTCAACAGGTTGAGCAGCTTGGACTGACTCAGTCCATCTGAGTTCCTCTGTTGAAGATTATGTGGTAGTCAAGTAATCAGTCACAAGACCTATTCTTATGGCTCTGGGCAAATGCAGTAGCTTGCCTTCAGCTGCAAGGTTGTTCTGACATTGGCCACACCACCCTCTTAATGGCTCTCATGTGAGCAAGTGTCAGCTGACAGGTCTTACTCTGCAACCTTGCAAAATTCTGCCCATGGCAAGTGACAGAGATGGTCACCCACAGCAAACAAAGGTAGGGTTTAATGTATAGGAGATGGCATGGGGCAGGGAGAGTGGGGACACATCCTTGCTTTAATACCAAATATATATTTTAAACTAATATTTGGATATATATTAGCAAAAAAGAAATAGTAATAAGTGGGAAGTCATAAACCCTCAAAACAGTTGTACTGAATTCCTGGCTCCTGGGCATATTCAAGCCGAGAAAGCCCCGACTACCAGAACCCAGGGACAAAAACAGTTCAATTTTGACTTCTGACACTAACATTCTTCATCTGTAAAATGAGAATAATATTATAAAATCAGTATGATTTTTCTATAGTACTATGAGTTCAAGAAACAAATACATTTTCTTTTAGAAGAAATAAAGCATAGATCCCTAAAAATACAGGTCAAATCTTGATACAAAATAATTAAAGGATTGTCCCAATTCCTTTCCCTCTTCCTTATCCTTGAATTTGGCTGAAGAAAATATTAACAGACCCCTAATATCTGATGAACCTTTGGCTGGGTCTTTAATTTCAGGTTTTAAATGCATCTTTATACATGGCAGCCACATTTTCACTTCATGAGTGTAAGAAAAATCTCATGATACCGTGGCAGAGGTCTCAATTACCCTAAGACTTCATTGTGTATGTGACCCTAAAGTTCCTCTGTAACAAGCCCCCCAAAAATCTTAAATATATCCTCCTCTAAGAAATAAAGATTACAGCCCTGGCCGGCTTGGCTCAGCGGTTAGAGCATTGGCCTGCGGTCCGGAGAGTCCCCGGTTTGGTTCCCGCTAAGGGCATGTACCTCGGTTGCAGTTTGTCCCCGGCCCTGGTTGGTCATGCGGGTGGCAGCCATGCGATGTGTCCCTTTCACATCGATGTCTCTCTCTCTCTCTGTTCCTCTCCCTCCCTCCCACTCTACCTGAACAAAAAATGGAAAAATGTCCTCGGGTGAGGATGATAAAAAAAAAAAAAAAAAGAAAGAAAGATTACAACACACCTACAACAGCAAGTAAACTTCTCTATGGAACATGCTAAATGGACAGTGCCAACATAAAACCAGATTAGGAGAAAATGAGTTCATTTTTCAAGGAAGGAGAACACATTTTAAACTTAAAGCTTAACTACATGGCCACAGGACAATCATGGGCTCTTCTTTTATCCTGCCCCCCCCACCCCCAACTGTCTTTAAAATCACTTTCCCTTCTTAACTAGAATCAGCAAATCACTTATGCAAGCTCTCTAACTTTTCCACTTCAGGTACAGGGCAGCTCAGCGAGCACTGAACGCAAAGCCTGCACCACCACCAGGCTGCCTAACAAGTGGCCCAAGTGAAGCCCCCTGTCAGTGTCTCCAATTTGGCTAGTTTGCCTCGTCTAAAAGTAGGGGAAATAGAAGTGCAGCTGTGTTGATGGGATGGGATCTTTACAAATGCCAATAAATGAATTTTATAAAATATGTAGAGGAAATTTTGGGGGAACACAGCCCACTTTTTATGTATAAGACTGAATTTTAGTTTTAAAACTTCAATTTCTAAAAGATACTTATCTAGGACTTGATGAAAGGACATAAAATCCTCTTTAAAATATGTATTCTATATATACATTTACCCAGTAGTTAGCTACAAAGCTGTTCAATAATTCTGGTATTTTGTTTTCCAAAGGCCTCAAATACTATTATAAAAATACAAATGTTATCCCTTATCCAGATAATGCAAACATTTTAAATGATCAAAATAGTAAGAGGTAAAAATGACCACATGGCTACAAAGGGTATTTGGATGAAACAAGGATCAAACTGCACTGGGGAAAAAGTCCCTTAAACAGAAACGAATGTCATAGAAAACCCTAAAGCCCAGTTGTGTTTCCTTCACTCGCCAGCCATCTTTAACTGAACACTTACTATGTGCCAGTCATTGTTTCTCCCTAAACTCTGTCAATACACCTTTTAGCCACCAATTCCTTGGCAGAGCAAGGCTAAAACTTCAGCATGTTTATAAACATGAATTGCTGGGCCCACCCTCAGGGGTTAAGATCAATACTTCTGGGGTGGAGACTGAGAATTTACACTTCTAATTCCCAGGGTGCTGCTGCTGCTGGCCTGGGAACCATACATCTGGGAACCACTTCCTCAGTTATAATTCTATCTTCCCTCAACAAAGCCTTCCTAGGCTGGAAGATCTCTTTCTCTCTTGATTCCTCTATAATTTTTAAGCCACTTTCAACACAATACATAAATGCTTTGCAAAAGAGTAGTGCACATGTCTTATGATCCTAATTAGATCATAAGTTCTTTGATTATCAAAACTGGGTCTTGACATTCATCTTTGCACCTCATACAAGTCTCACATATGCTAGATCCCAAGAGATAACTTTTTGATTGATTTAATGCCACTGAATATTTACATTAAAATTATGACCTGAATCTATTACAACCAGCAGTGTGCTTCTTTGTGCATGTACTCTGGCCAGGAAGGTACTTGTGCTAAAACACACACACTTTCTCTCTTTACTGTGAGGGGAAAATGAGTTTGCCACCCCAACATATGCCTTTTGGGGATACTGATTATGTTAAGCTGGTTACTTGGTTATTCTTTTTTTTTTTTTTTTTATCCTCACCCGAGGACACTTTTCCATTTTTTGTTCAGATAGAGCGGGAGGGAGAGAGAGGAAGAGAGAGAGAGAGAGAAACATCGATGTGAAGGGACACATCGAGTTGCCGCCACCCGCACGACCAACCAGGGCCAGGGACAAACTGCAACCGAGGTACAGGCCCTTAGCGGGAACCGAACCCGGGTCTCTCTGCACCGCAGGCCGATGCTCCAACCGCTGAGCCAAACCGGCCAGGGCTACTTGGTTATTCTTAAGAAATAAAAGATTGCTTAAAGGATTCAGGCAGAACCCGGCTTAAAGGAAGGGAGCATCACCTTGACATATTCTGAACTAAGTGTGGCACACAGGGAGGAACCTAGCAAAATCCATTTGACTCGCCTCTGTGTCCCATTGCTTCTGGGTGGCTGATAAGAATCTGTTTACTCAATTCTTTTTTAAAATCCTCACTCAAGGATATGTTTTTACTGATTTTTAGAGAGAGAGAAAGGGAGAGAGAGAGAGAAACATCAGTAAGAGAAAGAGAGAGGTAAGAGGTAAGTATCGATTCGGTTGTCTCCCGCTCTCGCCCTGATTGGGAATTAAACCCGAAAGTGGGGTATGTGCCCTGACTGGGAATCAAACCCAAAACCTTTTGGAGTACAGGATGATGCTCCAACCAATCGAGCCACCCGGCCAGGTCTGTTTACCCGACATTTTGCTGAGTCTCATCTACCTGTAAATTACCTATCTTCTCTTTGAAGTCCAAACCACTTTCTTCTTAGCTCAAGATGGCATACAAGCCTCAACTGCATGGTTTATCTTCAGCCCCATGTTCTTATAGAACCCCGTATGTACATCCATAATAAATTTGCTTCTTTCCCCATCTGTTAATCTGTCTCGTATCAATTTAGTTATTAGAACCACCAGAAAAACTATAAATAGAAATGAAGGGAAGCTTTTTTCTCCCCCACAGCTACAGCAAAACTTCCTGTAGAAGTTTTAGCAACTTATGTTCACTTCAATTGACATGGCTCATGTTATCGTAACAGAAAAGACATTTAAGACTTTTAGAAAGTGAAAATGTCATTTTCCCTGCACCTCCCCTTAATGACCCATAATTCCACAGTTCAAAACCTGATAAGATGTAATAAAGTAGTGATGTATATCAAAACCACAACCATTGTACATTATATGGCTCCAAATTTCCTTATATATAAATGGGAGTTTTGAATTTTCTTTAGTAAGTGAAAAAACAAGTAATAATTATATCATCACAACCATCCTTCTAAGATATTAGAACAGCTCACATAATACCTAAGAGAAAGGTATATTTAGACCTTCGTTGCTCCAAATTCTGTTCTCTACCTCCACCCAATCTCCCTTTTTCTCAATCTTCTCTTTCCCCAAATGGAATCACACTCTTGTACAGGTAGGTACTCACATGATTACTCATTAGCATGCTGAATACCCTGCTCTTAAATATTAAATAATACGCAGATTAAACTGCTCATCAGCCCTATCTATAACCCTATTCATGGTGAAGGTCTCTGTTGCCTTCACACAGCTCAGCCGTGCTGACACATTTAGAAAAGTATCTGCCTCGGTGACTGGAATCGCACAAGCCACCTCCAGCTCAGTACACTGACTGAAACTGCTGCCGCCACCACACACTTTCACAACACAGCTGAACTTGGTCCAGTGCTGGAAGTGAGGGTCAGAGACGTGTGGACGTAGTAGGAATCCATGTGATCTATGTAAGAGAGGGAAACTACTGGTTCAAGTTTTATTAATTTATTTATATTTTTTATTCCTCACCCGAGAACATTTTTTCATTTATCATGAGATAGAGTGGGAAGGAGGGAG